GGGCCCCCCCCCCCACCCCCCACCCCCTATACCCCCCCCCCTTCCGATAGTCCGGCAAATCTGATAATCCGGGACCCCTTGGGTCATAAAGGTGCCGGATTATCGGAATTTTACTGTATAAGGGTGTTACAAGGAGGAGGGAGAAAATATGTTCTCCTTTGCCTCTGATGACAAGAGAAGAAGCAACAGGCTTAAATTGCAGCAAGGGAAGTTTAGGTTGGACATTAGAACAAACTTCCTAACTGTCAGGGTGATTAAATACTGGAATACATTTCCTAGGGAGATTGTGGAACCTCCAACACTGGAGATATTAAGAGCTGGTTGGATAGACATCTATCAGGGATGATCTAGATGATGTCTGGTCCTGCCATGAGGACAGGGGACTGGAATTGATAACCACTTGAGGTCCCTTCTAATTCTAGTATTCTATGAAATTCTTACTTACATGCTTAATTTTGAGCAGGTGAGTAGATCATGTGTTCACGGTAAAGCATGTAGGTAAATTTACAGGATTGGAACCTCATATCGTAATTTATCTGGGACAAAGAACAGAGAGTAAAATCCTGACCTCAATAAAGTCCATGGCAAACTCCCACTGATATCAGTGGGGCCAGTGTTTAAACCACTGTCGTCTTTGCCATTCATTCCTGTTTGTGCTTGTATAAACAATAGTGCATTTATTTTCAAATATACTGTACTAAAATATTCACTTAAGATTTGAGCTTGTTAAATATGTGTTTTGAGCACATCGGACACCACAGATTTACACAGATTTAAAAAAAAAATGCCTCTTCCCCACTTAGCTACCAAGACCTGGCTTTAAGGTTTTATGTTGCACATGCAAACATTGGTGTCTTCGTTCCATAGAGCTATTACAGAGTATTCCCTGTGTGCTTGCTAGTAGTTATTTGACCTCAGATGGAACTCAGGACTTTGATAGGGGAAGGGGTACTTACTTTCAACTACTTTCTTTTGTAATATAATCACAATTATACGTGGAAGTAATTTTACTAATTTTATTTTGCATTTTATAGTTTTTAACCTATTTTCAAAAGTGTTTGTAAATTTTCCTTCCTTCCTTAATTTCTACAATGAACATAATTCTCTTTTTGTTGAATTCAAGTTTTGCCTGCTATTTACAACAAGCAGAAATAAGCTTTTCTTACAAAGAAAATAAGTCAAAGATGTATCAAGCCAGAGGGTGGAAGCTTGTGGAAATGTGTGCTAAAAATAGTAAAGACAGGATGAAAAAATTGTTTGTGACGCTAGAAATTTCCTTACTTATAAAAAGATCTAGGGCATGATGCAGCCTTAGTGGAAATCTTTCCACAGACTTCCAATGGTGTTTTATTGAGCCCGTAATTAGGTGTAACTGGATTGTTATTGATTGATGGCAGAGGCCTAGTGAGCATAGCGTAGTGAATAAGGGCAGCTTCAGCTTCAGAAAGCAGAAGTTTTACTTTTATCAACATTCTGTAGAACTTTAAAAGCTGATCTGGCAGAGCCCCACACACTCTTACAACAGACAGCAATTGCACAAAGACAAAGCTTAAGTGACCCGATACCACAATCTTTCAAAACAAACATCAACTGTAGCTATTGCCAGGAAAGACGATACTTATCCAGAGTGTATCTCCATCAAAGTCAAAATGATTACTTCCATGGACTTAAACCAAGGAGAACTTTGGCCCCAGTTGATAAAATATGTATTCTGATTATCTGACCGAGTCTTTTAGGGGATGTGATATCCATGAACCAAATCTAAATAATCAACCACTAGTAGTTAAGTGTAGTTAGCTGATTTCTTATCATCAAAATAAAATATTGCTACATAGAAACTGAAGGTGCTCCCTTTAGGAAACACCGAGGCATGTTAATGAGGTGTGCAGATTCATATACTGCTACAATTTGTGCAATGCACATGTAGACAACTTCAGTTTCAGTCCTATAAATCAAATGTATTTCAAGGTACTACATTCTTGTTTATTTTTTCTATACTAGGGAAGTTGTTATTTTTTATAAACAAAGAAACTTCAGGTGTCAAACGCCAGAGGAAGTGAACTTAAATTTTGATAGGGAATCAATACATTAGAAAATGTGTCAAACTGTTCTGTTCGGTCAAGATTTCAGGGTTGTGGTGGGTTTTTTATTACCAGTAAAATTTTGAGTCATTTTCAACATAACAAAATGAATCAATTCATTTCATAAAAAAGTTGTGTATTTATTGTTAAACTGTCCTCTTAAATACATCTCTCTCAAGAAATTAGATCCATTCAAATACTATTTTAGGTACTCCAATAATTGCATAAAGTAAATGGTTTTCTTTTTCTTGATTTCTCAGAGCTTAGCTATATTATATTTGTGATTCTATAGATAAGGATACAGATGTGCTAAGTACAATTCAGTGTTCACTAGTGCATATTGTTAGTAGGATGTAAAAATTATCATAAGTTCTTTATCAGTGTAATGGAGAATCCTGTGTGTCTTTGATTTTATGAAATAAAGTTTTATTATACATAGCCCAGAAAGTCAAGCCAATGACAATTATACGAATGTTAATATTATTCTTACTCTTTGAATTTCAGTAACTCCAATGATTGTAGTCTTATTACATCATGGCTGAATTTGGTTTATTGCTTCTTCACAGAAAAAAAAACAGTTTGTATTCCATAAAGATGATCTGTTTGTCATTCTAGATGAATTAGCCATTTGTGTTTTCTGCATTTTTTTTCTCCTGCGCTATTTCTAATGGGAGAAAATTGTTCGTTTTTAATAAATGCATTGATTAGGTACAAAACTGTGTGAACTATATGTAGCCTGCTCTGTATTGCTCACAATGGTCAATGGCATTTAATGGGACTGAAAAGATAATGTTCACTGGCTGACACAAACAAAGGCATAGAAGTCTTTTATTGTTATAGTTTGTTGTCTGCCTATGCTTGAATGTTTGTTTCATTAAAACAAGGTAATGATTCATTTTCTTTCTTTGCAGCTCTAGATAGCTAGACGTTTAACAAGTCAAAGCTGAATTTCCAAGTCCAAATCCACGTACAATTGCAGTAAAGCTCCATTTTTGAACAGCAGAACATTAGTTTAACTGAAATATGGGTATATTTAAATCTATAAAAAAAGAAAGATTTGGAATCGACTTCATGCTAATATTTAAAAACTAACAGTGCTGGTTTTATTGCTATTCATTTTTTAGGAAATAGAGTAGTGATGAGTTTGGATTTAGCTAAGGTGGGTTACTATCAAGGAAAAGCTCTGTGAAGCCAGTGGTAACGGTGTGCTCTGAAATATACTTTTTTCTCTTCTTTTGTTTAAGGGTTAAAGCTAAGTGAGCCAACCATGACTGGCAAAACACAGACCAGCAATGTCACCAATAAGAACGACCCCAAGTCAATCAACTCCAGAGTCTTCATTGGCAATCTGAACACCGCTATTGTCAAAAAAGGTGACATAGAGGCAATCTTTGCAAAGTATGGAAAAATAGTTGGCTGCTCAGTGCACAAAGGTTATGCATTTGTACAGTACATGAGTGAGAGGCATGCGAGGGCTGCAGTGGCAGGAGAAAATGCCAGGATCATTGCAGGACAGCCCCTCGGTAAGTGTTCACAGGATATTTTTAATAGAAAGTTTGTGTTAATTTCTTTTCTTTTCTTTTCCCCCTGTTTAGTAACTATCCTCGGTGTTGAATGTAGTTGTTTTGTGTGTGTGTGTTAGTTTCAAGCATAGCTCCCTAGGAAACTGAACTGACAAAAGTGTTTTTGAAATGTCATCTAGATTTAATAAGACGGCTGTTCAATGTTATTACGTATTGTGTGCTTAAATATGTTTTTTCTGAATATGTATAATGATTACATCCCAGTATATAATTAATAAGGCTCCAAGCCTGCCAACATTTATGCACATGCCTAATTTGTAAAAACCATCCGGCTGAAGTCAGTAGGACAATGAATGCGAGGAAAATTACACATGTGTATGCAGGATCAGGCCCTAGTTCTAAGGATGTTAAATTGCGGTTATCTGGCTAATCGTGTAGTCGATACAATTTGTATTGACTACACGATTAGTCGATAAGGGCCACTCTGCAGAGCCACAGCAGGGGTAGCTCCAGGAGCTGACTTGAGCAGGAACTGAGCAGTCAACTACTTGCTAATATCCAACTTAGGTCATTGCTATAACATGTTATAATTTTCAGGGGCCATATAGTATTCCTCTGCAGAACAACATGGGGCAGAGCTGAGAGTTGCGCAGAATCTCTAGGTATGTGACCATACTGAGGGGAAGAATTAGCACTTTTGTGTAGGGGATGTAATGTGTGAGCTACTAACCACATGTACAAGTAGACCAATAAGATATCTTGTTCCCAGGCCTGTGGATCTGGTATATCTGCCTAGACAATCAATTCCTCCACAATGTTCCTTTAAAATGATTTCCACTTCACTCTCATCCCACATAAATGAACAACATGGTGGTTATGCACCCTTTCCTGTAGTCAGACCCCAAAACAATAGCATTCACAGGTCAGAACTTCATGCTGCATGGAAGAAGGTTATTGATTGTACATTATGCAAACTCCCTAGAGAAGCATGCTATACAGAACAGCTTTTCCCCACTTTTCAAATGGCCATGCCTCTTGAAATTGTCAAGAACTCCAACAAATGATTTTAATATCTGACTTTCACAACTAAGTCTTAGCGCATGCATAGAAACCCCATTTATTATACTGATTTTAAATCTGTGCCCGGTTCATTCTCCAGTATCATATCAGATCTTAGATAGCAGAAGTAAGAGGATAAGCTATATTAGGCTATGTCTACACTATGATTTTAGCCACAAGAGCCCATGCCAATGAAGCGCAGATTAGCATTTTTTCATGCTTCATTTGCATACTCTCTTTCGTTCGGTTTTTGCGCTAGGGGTTTTTGCACAAAACCAGCAGTGTGGACGTTTCCTTTTTGCGCAAAACCCCCTTTTGTGTAAGAACAAAAAGGGTTTTTTGCAAAAAAAGGAAATGTCCACACTGTCATTTTTTGCGCAGAAAACCCTAGCACAAAAACGGAATGAAAGAGAGTATGCAAATGAAGCGTGAAAAAAAATGCTAATCCAGCAGAACTCATAGCACAGATGTAGCCTAATTGTTTAAATGGTGCCAAGCCATGTGTCTAGAGAGATGTTATATTGAAAATGTAGGCTAAAGTTGTTCCCTCATGCAAATCTGCACAATGCCACTTAATATCAGTTGGTTCTGCACTTACCTGAAAAAAAAATAAGAATTTGGCCCCTATGAACTGAACCTAAACATAAATGGAGTTTTTATTTGCTTGAGTTTTTATATGTTCTTATACATAGTCTGGATATTTCTCATGGGAGCTGATTTCCATCAGTCACTTAATTGCTATTAGATAACTGGAAAAAATTACAGAGTATTTTGGTGACAAGGCTCAGAGGGGTAGCCATATGAGTCTGTATCTGCAAAAACAATGAGGAGTGGCACCTTAATGAAAACAGATTTATTAGGGCATAAGTTTTTATAGGTAAAAACCACTTCATCATATACATCAATGGAGTGGTTTTTATTCAAAAAAATTATGCTCAAATAAATCTGTTAATCATTAATGTGCCACAGGACACTTTTTTTGTTGTTTTTTTGTTTAGGAAATATTGGTTGGATCTGGACAGCTTTAATTAGAACATCAAAGCTGCTTTATTGAATCCATAGTATGTATTTCTAGGCTAGGAAAAATGTCAGGGTTAGCTACAATGATTACTGGCTAACTTTGACCTAAATTTTATATATCCTTTGTGCATTCTTACTAATTCGGTGTGAAATCTCAGTGCTGCTTAGCTGTTGACACAAAACATAAGACATTCTTTTAGCACATTTTAAAAGTTATAAACTACTTTAAAAGAGTGACAGTTAAATAACACTCAGGTAAATAAAACCATTAATGTCCCGATTCAGCAGAAGCTATCTATGGCCTACCATAACACAGAAGCTTAAAGAGTTGTTGTAACAAACTGTGGAGAATGGTTAGTTGGCTGGATGACTAATTCATCACAAATTTCTTAAGCCTGTGGTAGCTACTTTGCAAAATATTTGTAGAACTGACCTTTGATGATGTTTGTAGAACTGACCTTTTATTGGTAACCACTGTTTAGAGCAACTGGTTTTCCTCAACTTTATAATGCATGATTGATACACATAGAAAGAAAATATTTCTTTCTCCAAAAGAAATAGAAAAATAGCTGATATAAAATTCAATTTGATTTTTTTGTTTAGTTTTATATAAAAAAGATGAGGAAAAGAAGAGAAAAGAAAGAGAATAATGTGGGCTGCATGTAAATAAAGCATGAGAAGCTACAGATTTGTAGAGAGGAGAAGTTTTTTGGCATGGGTGCTTAGCTACAGAACCTGTGTTGGCTACATGAGATGGCAGTTTTAGCGTGTGGATCTTGACTCTATAATATGTGTACAGTGAGTAAGGAGTGCAATCTGTGAATTGCATACAGCTCCTTTCCTATCTACCCAGACACTAGGTATTGTTTTGAAATGGTATCTCTCTAAATCCAGTATCACTGCCATCACTGCTGCTTCTTTTTTTGTTTGTTTGTTTCTGGTAATGTCTAATATGGGCTAGACACTCTCATAAGACAACAAGTCTGAAAGCTGCAAAAAGGGCAGGTGAAGTTCCATTCTGTATAATAAAAGATATTAATATCACAATTGGTTTTTAGATTATTAAATTGAGATGACTGAAATTATCTACAATTTGCCAGTTATTTTCCTGAATGTGTGTGTCTCTTGGAGGCATTTAAATATGGAGGCAGTATGATCCTTGATCTTTGTAGGAAGAAGCACAGGATTTGAATTCAGAGGAGGAGGATTGACCAAAGAGATGCTGTGTAAGCATCCAGAAGGGTGTCAGGAGAAAAAGGAAGCTGTAATAATAAAAGCCAAGGTAGATAAGATGTACAGAAAAAGGATTAATTGATTTGAATACCTGAAGAGATCATTGTGGCCATCTAGTCCGGTCACTTGTATAACACAGGCCATAGAAGTTCCCCAAAATATTCATGCATCCCAGGACCATAGTGGCTCTTTTGACCACAGCATTGTTCACATTTGGAGCTCATTGTCAGGTGATTATCTGCTATAACCCCCAAATATTTTTCCCAGGATAGTCCTGCAAGTATGGCCTACATTCTTTCTTTTTAAATGTATAATTTACATTTTGCACTATTAAAACATACATTATTTGTTTGACATAGATGGCATGGTAAAATGGTACAGTCTAAATCAGTGACCTGTCCTCTTCATTCTTTATCCCTCCCCACAAGTTTTTGTGACATCTGCAAACTTAATCAGTAATGATTGGTTTTTTTTGTTCCAGGACACTGATAATAAAATAAAATTAAATAGTGTAATGGTAAAAGTAGTAGGGAGGTGATGAAGGATGAGGAACTAGTAGAGGCTCTGAGACATGGCAAAAAAAGAGAGAGGTCATTAGAGATGTAATTGAGAAGAGAAGTCAGAACAGACTGACTTCAAATGGAGGGGATCCGGTATGAGAATTTGGGGCAATGGTTGTAAACAGGGCATTTGAAGAGAATAAAGTTAATGGAGCAGTAGTTAGCATTACGAAGAGGTATATGATGCTTTGTAGATAAAAAATATTACAGGTCCATGGCTTGAGGCTCTTATGGTTGAAATTAAATAAACCATAATATTTTATACAAAGAAAATAGTTGTGATGAATGGACAGATTGTGAGTGAAATGTACTGTGATTTCCATATTACATTAACATAGTTAATTATTCTTTTTAAAATAAAATTTAAATATATGAACAATGGAATGAAAGCTGGATGGAGGTCAGTGGTAGAAGACTAACTAAACAAAATCGTATTTGAGAATGGATGAGAGCTGGATGGATTTATAGATGTGGTTATGCACTGTGTGTGACTAGTAAGCAATACTTCTACAAATTATGTTGTAGTGTTTTCATAAATTCCATTGGATTATTTATGTTCTAAACTGATTGTCAATTTATTCCAGCTCCTGACTTTATAGATTTCTTTGAGTACTTTGTGCTAAATTCTTCTCTCATTTACAGCAGCATAATTCAAATCAATGAAATTACTGGACCTACATTAATGTAATGGATATCAGAGTTTGGTCCTTTAATTTTACAAGATGGTACAAGGTGTTTATATAATTATCTGAAAATACTGAAGAAATATGAGAATTATTAATGGTGTTGCCATGTTATGTATTGTGGTAGTACCTTGAGAGTCTAACTGAGATCTAACCTAAGGCCTTAGTGTTTTAGGTGCTTGTAAAAGTGCATGGTAAGACATATGCCTAACCAAAGTGCTTGCAGTTTAAATAAATGAGGAAGAAAGAGTAGGAGAACTGAAACAGCATTACTGCAATCAAGCATCAAGGCAAATTATTTGAACTGCTATTGTGATATTTCCCAGCTCTACTGTACAAGTAAAACAAGCCATAGGACAACAAAATACCAAGCATAGCCATAAATTTTGTGTTGCTTAATGTGTGAATGAGAGGAGGGTGGGAATGGAGGAAATGTCTAATTTGC